AACAAAAAACAAACAAAAAGAAAATATCCTGAGACAAACTAAAACCCAACATATACAAAATTATGAGATGCGACAAAAGCAGTACTAAGAGGAAGTTTACAGCGTAAACACCGACATCAAGAAAGAATAAAGATCGAGTTCCTGGTTCTATAGGAAAAAAAAAAAGAATAAAGATAAGGATGGAGTTAGGAGAGGAAGACGGAGGCAAAGTTAATTAGTTTATAACAGGAAGCTAGGGGAAAAAAAGAATAAGTTTTAGGCTGGGCACGGTGGCTCACTCCTGTAATCCCAGCACTTGGGGAGGCAGAAGCAAGCAGATTACGAGTTCTGGAGTTCAAGACCAGCCTGGCCAATATGGTGAAACCCTGTCCCTACTAAAAATACAAAAATTAGCCAAGCATGGTGGCACGCACCTGTAGTCCCAGCTACACTGGAGGCTGAGGCAGGGAATTCCTTGCACCTGGGAGGCAGAGGTTGCCATGAGCTGAGATCGCGCCACTGCACTCCAGCCTAAGTGACAGGGAGAGACTCTGTCTCAAAAAAAAAAAAGAACAATAAATTCTAGTGTTCTATTACACAGTAGAGTGACTACACTAATAACATTGTTCTGTATATGTCGAGATGGCTAAAGAAAGATCTTGAAAGTTATCACCACAAAGAAATGATAAAGGTTTGAGGTCATGGACACTGGACATGCTAACTACCCTGATCTAATCATTATACAAGGAACATGTATTAAAATACTATACTGTGCCCCCCGACAAACATGTACAATTATTATGTGTCAGTTATAAACGAAACAGAAAGAGCTCAAGATACTATGTGAAACCACGAAAGGCATTAAAGACTGAAGAACGGGGAGAAAGGGCGCCCAGAGGAGTTGTGCTAACCCCGCCTGGGACGTAGGTGAGAGGCGAATTGGGTCTTGGAAGATGACTTGGAAAATGATCGTTCAACCAGATATTACCAGACCGGCACACAGTAGGCTCACCAAAGAACAGAAGTGACCTTTTTTCCTGAGTCGCAGGATCGGCCTCAATCTGGGCCTGTCCTTGCCCTGGGCTATCGGGCAGTTGGACGCTTCCCAGAGTAGAGACCACAGAGGAAGACAAACCGTAGTACCCGCTGCCGCCCGCCCCGGACGCTAGAACTTTCCCCTCACCCGCGTCGAAGTAGAGAACACTGTAGCCACCGCCATTTTCCCCACCAGCATCGGAAACCGTCTGCTCAAGACACTTCCGGGAACCCCCAGCCGAACAGCCAGCCGACTACGGTAGCCAAGGAGGACCTGAGGCGGAAGTTGCGTCACGCCGCATGCCGGAAGTGGCGGTGCGTGTGACGCCGGCGGCGGGGGGGCGGGACCTGGGGCGGAGAGCGGTTCGCGCGCTTCGGGCCTAGTCCGGACTCGCCGCCGCCGCCGCCATATTCCCGGTAACGGGGGCGCGCGGCCGGGGGCAGGTTGGGCCGGAAGAGGGGTCGGGGTCGGCGCTGAGGCGGGGAGGGGGTTGGTTGAGATGGGACGGCAGGAATCGGCGGGCGGAGGGAGGCGCGGGCCTTTGAGGGAGGAGGTAGAGAGCGCCGGGCCGGGTTTGTGGGGAGGGAGCGGGGCGGGCCTAGCTGGGGGCCAAGAGTAGGCCTGGGTAGGGAGCCGAGGCGGCTGGAGCTGCTTGACCCCCAGGGCCCCTGGCCAGAGCCGCTTTGGGGCCTAGGCAGGTGCGGCGGACGGGGGCTGTGGGCTTCGCCGCGGTCATTCTTCGCAACGCGGTCTTTGGGCCCCTAGGAGCCGCGGGTGGGACTTTTCCGTCACGCCATAGGCAGCTGCGGCGCCGACGCGGCGCTACCGGGATCGGGCCCGAGGGTGATGGGCAGCGACCCCCGGCGGCCTGGAGAGCCGGGGGGCGGCGCGAGGCCGAGGGCGGGGCGGAGCGGGTGGGGCCGAGCTGGGGCCGCCGGGATGCTGCGTCTCTGGAGACGGGAGGTTAGCAACCATTGCCCTCCTCCAGCCCAGGACCCTCATGCCTTCTCATTCTTGCATTTTTCCGAATCCCGCAGTGGCATCTTCCTTACTTTGTCTATCCTCCGGGCTCGCGATCTTCCTTCCGGAGCCATGTCAGAAGGAGTGGACTTGATTGATATATATGCAGACGAGGAGTTCAACCAGGTGAGGGGTCATCAGGAGCTTTGGGATTTTCCTTGATCATCTGAGGAAACATTTTCAGCAAACTTGCAGTGGTTTCAAGCTGTACGAGTCGTAGGCTTGAACACGCGTCTATCCGGTCTAAAATTTTTCTCCTGCAGAAACTTTATGTTCCGCTTTATGTTAATTTGAGGCTCCAGGCTTAATTTTAAAGGCTTTAAGAGCAAATAAAAACCTGTAATAGAATAGTGAATCAACCTGTGGAATTCACTCCCCAGGAAGCCAAAGTTGGATGTCAGACTAACCACACTTTAAAATCAAAAGTACATTTGCTACAGTATTCATGAGGACAGTGTTGTTACCTGTTCCTTTACATTCTCAAACTGCAGCTGGAGAAGTGTAGTCCCCTCCACCATGACAGTGCAACGTAGAAAAGATAACTTTAACATTTAGTTTCAACTGCATCCCAATTAAGTTTTACTTCCTTTTATAAGTAGGTTGACTCCAGTCATGAGACGTCCACAGGCGTTTTGGTATAATTTTACTGATTAACTTTAGTCTTTCTAGAAGGAATAAAAGGGTAAAGACATTAGACAAACCAGCTAAAAGACAGAGACAGATCCACGCACATACCCTTAGTTAGATTTGTTTTTATTGTACCGGGGAATATTATACAAAAATTTATCTAGAGCTGGGCATGGTGGCTCTTGACTGTAATATCAGCTGCTCCAGAGGCTGAGGTGGGAAGATTGCTTAAAGCCAGGAATTCAGTACCAGCCTGGGCAACATAGCAAGACCCAGGCTCTACAAAAATGTAAAAAAAAAAAAAAGCAACCAGATGTGATGGCTTGTGCCTGTAGTCTCATCTACTCTGGAGAGTGAGACAGGAGGTACTCCCTGAGCCCAGAAGTTCAAGGCTGCAGTGAGCCATGATTAGGCCACTGCACTCTGTCCTGGGCAACAGCAAGACCCTGACTCTTCAAAACCAAATAAAAAAATTTTCCATGCAGTTCAGTTTTTCAGTCTTGAGATCAATTCTCAAGAATGTTCCAAAGTTTCTATTTAAAACTTACTAATATCTTGCCTGGGTTATTTTCAGCACTATTCTACCTAAGTAAGCTGACTCTTCCCATTGGCATCCTCCAGTGGGTATACATAGGGACCTGGCAAAAGCATGTAATGAATGGGCTAGAAAAGGAAAGTTACCTGGTTGGACCCTGACTGATATGAGGCAACAGAAGAGGTGGATTTGTGCCATTTATTTTTCACTTGGCATAATTTTACGTTAAAATCTATTTTTTGGTGCATTATGGATTTGTAACAAGGAAATTTATAAGCCATACACAAAAGTAGAATAGTGTAATGACCTTGTACCCATTATACAGCTTCACCAATTATACTTTTTAATGGCAGGTTTCTTGTCTCTTCTCTGGTAAACTGTGAAGTCCTTTAAATATAGCTGCTGATTGTCTTAAATACATGAATTTATTTATTTATTTTTTGAGATGGAGTCTCGCTCTGTCATCCAGGCTGGAGTTCAGTGGCTGGATTTTGGCTCACTGCAACCTCTGCCTCCCGAGTTCAAGCTATTTTCCTGCCTCAGCCTCTTGAGTAGCTGGGACTACAGGTGTGCACCACCACACCTGGCTAATTTTTGTATTTTTAGTAGAGTCGGAGTTTCACCATGTTGGCCGGGCTGGTCTCAAATGCCTGACCTTGTGATCCGCCCCTCTCGGCCTCCCAAAGTGCTGGGATTGCAGGTGTGAGCCACAACGCCTGGCAAAAAAATTTTTTTCATTAAGTCTAATAATTATGGATGAAAGACAAAAGTACCATATGTTAATTTAGTTACAAAGCCATTGTTTTGCTGAATTTTTCCATATTCCTTTGAATCAGACTTTTACTGCCTTTAAAAAACAAATAGAGGCAGCAGTCTCAATTGTGTTTTAGAATGTTTTAAGAATGTTAACTGATAGGCCCCAAGCTGGCCCATGCACAGAGAGCCCTTCATGTGTACTTTGCTCCCCAAGGAAAATTAATATTTTTCCTAGGTGGAACCCTATGGTGCTTACTCCCTGATCTCATAGAGCATTTGCTACAAAAACCTTTTTTGCCAGAGCTACTTTATTTCTGACACATTGGGAGTCCTGGGATTCACACTGGCTCTCTTGGGCCAGGGAGAAGAACTCTGGAAAGGTGACTGAGAGTGGCTGCTCTGCTGGGAGGTTGTCTTCTCATCCTGAGACAGGCTTTACGCAATGTGCCCAGTTCTCTTCTTTTCTCCCATCAACAAGTATTTATTGAGCTAATTGTGTTTGCTAAGCACTTTGCCAGGACTAGTGAGATAAAAGGGGGAAAAGAAGTACTCAGAACAGATTCTACTCTTGGTGGGTAGGGGTGGTGGACAATCACAGTGCAGAGTCCAGTGAAGGGCAAGGAGAGTGTGAAGCGAGAACTGTGGAAATGGTCATTATAAAGTCAATTTTTTATTAAACCTTGGTTACAATGAAAAGAAACAATGGGCTAATCCCAACACTTTGGAAGGCCAAAGCGAGCGGATCACTGGAGGTCAGAAGTTCAAGACCAGCCTGACCAATACAATGAAACCCCGTCTCTACTAAAAATACAGAAATTAACGAGGCATGGTGGCATGCTCCTGTAATCCCAGCTACTTGGGAGGCTGAGACAGGAGAATCGCTTGAACCCAGGAGGCAGAGGTTGCAGTGAGCCGAGATCACACCACTGCACTCCAGCCTGGGTAACAGAGTGAGACTCTGTCTCAAAAATAAATAAATTTTTAAGAAAGAAATTTATTAATAAATTTTAGGAAATAATTTAAAAAAATAAAAGAAACGGCCGGGCGCGGTGGCTCAAGCCTGTAATCCCAGCACTGTGGGAGGCCGAGGCGGGTGGATCACGAGGTCAAGAGATCGAGACCATCCTGGTCAACATGGTGAAACCCCGTCTCTACTAAAAATACAAAAAATTAGCTGGGCATGGTGGTGCGTGCCTGTAATCCCAGCTACTCAGGAGGCTGAGGCAGGAGAATTGCCTGAACCCAGGAGGCGGAGGTTGCGGTGAGCCGAGATCGCGCCATTGCACTCCAGCCTGGGTAACATGAGTGAAACTCCATCTCAAAAAAAATAAATAAATAAAAAAATAAAAGAAACAATGATACCAAGTTGGTTGCGTGTATAGCTGAGAAAAATAAATCCTGGGCCAGTTACTTCCATCAGTGGGATATCAGGAAGAAGAGGGTGGTGGTTAGGAACTTCGAGCAGACAAGTGGAGAAGATCTTATTTAAATTGAAAATCATACATGTTCTCTCTTGTTTACAGAGAAGCAAGAAGTTTCATGAGACAGTCACAGTTTTTTCTGTGCTGTTAAACACAAAATTCTTTGAGATTGTCATTCAATATTAAATATACATTTCATGTTTAATCTCCCTGGAATGAAACTTTGAACATCAGTGCATGTACAATGTACTTTTCACTTAATTTGTAGAATTTGGTTGTACTTTTATTACTGCATAAATCACCAGCAAAATCTCAGACCCTTAATCTGTGTTTCTCTTTTGCTAGCTAAACAAGTAAAATGAATGATGATAGGGGATTGAAATAAGAACAATTTGATACCTTGTTTATTCGGTAGAACCCTCAACAGACTTGCCCTGTGCAGTTCCCACTAGCTTTTTTGAACTGAGGCTCTGTGGCCCACAGAGACCATTTAAATCTTGTGATAATTTTGTATTCATTGAATCCTTTTGTTTCTGAAAGTGTTAGCCATACCAAGATCCTCCTAGATCTAGACTGTTCTATTCTTTTTTTTTTTTTTTTTTTTTTTTTTTTTGAGACGGAGTTTCGCTCTTGTTACCCAGGCTGGAGTGCAATGGCACGATCTCGGCTCACCGCAACCTCCGCCTCCTGGGTTCAGGCAATTCTCCTGCCTCAGCCTCCTGAGTAGCTGGGATTACAGGCACGCGCCACCATGCCCAGCTAATTTTTTGTAGTTTTAGTAGAGACGGGGTTTCACCGCGTTGACCAGGATGGTCTCGATCTCTTGACCTCGTGAGCCACCACGCCCAGCCAGACTGTTCTATTCTTTAAGGGACCTTAAAAGAGTAAATTGGTTGCCTGAGCTTGTAGTATGGAGAGTTTCCTGGTGATGCAT